TATGTATGTATGTGTATATATATAAATATATATGTATATATATAATACATATATATATCTGTGATCACTCTATTTCCTCCTGCTTTCCCCTCCCCCTCCTCCACGTCCCCCACCTCCTGCTCCACTTCTAACTCCTCCTCCTCCTCCTTCTCCATTTCCCCCCTCTTCTTCCTCCACCTCCTCCTCCACCTCCACATCCACCTCTGCCTCCGCCTCCACCTCCTCCTCCACCTCCTTCTCCTCCATATCCACCTCCTCCCCCTCCTCCTCCTCCTCTTCCACTCCCCCCCATCCCCAACCTCCACTTCCTCTTCCCCCTCTACCCCCTGTCCCTCCCTCTTCTCCCAACCCCTTCCCCCTCCCTTTCCCCTTCCCCTCAACCGCTCCTAAACACCACCACCCCCCGCACGCACGACATCCCCCTCTCCCGCCCGGGCCTAGCGGCGCCGCGGCCAAGAGGAGGCAGGAGAGGCTCATCAACGCCAGGATCTACCAGTTCTTCTTCGACGCCCTCGACGCCGCGGCCGACGACTTGGCCAGAAGGAAGAAGCTCGTTGATCAAGTCGTGGCTACGTCGTACCCGGAGGCGAGTGGTGGGGGAAGGGGGGGAAGAGAGGGGGGATCGTGTTGTTGGTGATGGTGATGTATATGTATATATATGCAGACATTTACATACATACATAGACATATATTTATATGAATGAATATATGTATTTATTTATAAATATATCTGTGTATACACACACAATCACGCACACACACACACACACACACATACACACACACACACACACACACATACACACACACACACACACACACACACACACACACACACACACACACACACACACACACACACACACACACACACACATACACACAGACACACGCACAAACACACACACACATAAATATACATCCACATACATACATACACTCCTCACCACCACACAAACAACCAATCAACCTCCTTTCCTCCCCCAGGCCGTCGTGTACGAGAACTACGCCTGCAGCCTGAGGCAAACGAGCCAAGATCAGAATCCCAAGTTTTACGTATTGCAGGTCATTGAGAATAAAAGCTCATATTTCTTCTTCGCCAGATGGGGCAGAGTGGTGGGTATGGCGGTCTCGCTCTCTTGGGGAAAAGGCCTTTCGTTTCATAATGGGGATAGGATCACAGAGGGTTTTTTATTGTTATTGTTGTTGTTTTTACTGTCATTGTTATTGTTGATGTTATTTTTGTTATTGTTATTGTTGTGATTATTTTTATTATTGTTATTGTTGTGATTATTTTTATTATTGTTATCATTATGATTATTTTTATTGTTATTGTTATGATTGTTATTATTATTGCTATTATTATCATTAGTATTGTCAATATTATTAGTAGTATTAGTATTGTTATATTATTATTATTAATACCATTAACAGTTGTTCTTTTATTTTTGTTCTTGTCTACTCTATATGGTATCGTTCTCGTCAAGCAATCTTACTGACCCGTGTTCAAATCCCTCGCCGCCAGTGAATAGTTAAATAGCACTGGTTTAGAATATCTTGTATACCTTATTTTTTATGTGTTTTTAAAAGATTACTTCTTATTTTTTGTTTTCACCTATTCACTTTTCATCAAAGTTGCATTCATTAGCTTTTTTATCATGGGCATCCCTACCCTGGAACTTAGACTTATGCCCTCTTTTCCGCTAAGCTCCGCCCAGTCTTGTGACGTAATGGGAATGTCTGCAGTTGACGGCTAGCTGCTTTGTTGTATTTTTTCGGCTGGCACACATATTTTAGAGTATAATATTCTAGATGGTTATTGATATCTTATGATGAGTCGTGCTGTGTTGCAGATACCCAATTCAGTTTCAGTAAGAATATGCATGTAAATAACCGAGGTATTCGGAATGCATCTGGCAACTCGAGCAAATATTTTACCACCTACTCAAATACTGTCGCGCGAGAGTGCCACATTGTCCGCAACACATTCTCTGTTTTACTAATTTTTTCTATCTACAAGGAATAAAAAAACACACACACAATTACACAGGAATAAGAAATATGCCCTCGTTCTAATTCTAAACCAAATTGCATCCGTAGGGGGACGAAGGCAAGTGGAAAATCGAACCAAAGGCAACACTGGACGACGCGATAGAAATGTTCGAGAAAATGTTCCGAGTCAAGACGAGGAACGACTGGGAAGACAAAGACGATTTCGAAACGTTTCCAAGCCGATATGCAGTGTTCGAAGAGAGTTGAATACCCCGAAGGCCTTGTTAGGTTAGAATAGGTGTTCTCGAGATTTCACTGATTGAGACCCAGAATATATAAAATGCGATATAGATTTCATGTTAAAATGAGATATAGATTTTCGCTAAACCCTACGTTGATTACGATGTCTGTTTACTGTTGAAGAAATTTAATGTCTGTATAAAATCTTTAAGGATAGTGACGGATACTAAGAGTAAGAATTTTAAACAAAATATACATTATATATCCCCATAATCAAAGAAAACGGTACCGTAACAGAAAACGGGTGTGCAGTATTTTTTTTTCTCCTTTGTGATGGAGATTTTTTTTAAAGAGATTAACATAAATCAACATAAAAATTGATATATACAAAAAGGAGATTGATATATGATATAAACAAGAATTTTTGTGATAACCAGACGGTTAGAAATCACAAGGCTATTCAGTTTAAGGTAAATTTGCATGTCGTGTTTGTCTATGTTTAATTATGTATATTTTATGTATAATTTCATGCATTAGTTTCACTCTTTTGCGTATGTTCTCTGCGTAGTGAAATTGTGTATTGCTGCATCTATAATGTTCATAATATCAAATAAAGAACAAGGCCTTATATTTTTGGTTTTAATGATGATTATGTGCAAAGAATCCTTACAGCCAAACATATTATACATTATGCTAATACATTACATGAATTCATTACTACGTCACATCTAGAAAACGCTACAAATTCATAACACATTTTATCTAAAAAATGCTGTCAAAATCCAGTGTACTCATTTCTAACATAGTTAACAATTTTAGCTTGCTTAATAGAAAACTATTTAAACAAAACACACACACACACACACACACACACACACACACACACACAACACACACACACACACACACACACACACACACACACACACACACACACACACACACACACACACACACACACACACACACACACAACACACACACACACACACACACACACACACACACACACACACACACACACACACACACACACACATATATACATACAAATATATATATGTATATATACATACGCACACATTCTAATGCATATGACACGGGAAAGAGATCCTCTTGATACCAAGCTCGGCGCCAAAAGGTCTCTCGTGATTGGCTTTCACATCACGTGGGGGGGGGGGAGATACTGGAAAGAGGGCAGACAAAAGGAACATCAGTTGAACCCGTAACCTGTTGAGTCCTGCACCACGTGACTACGTTCGCTCCACGTGATCACTGTTCTCCTGTATAGGGTAAAATGTTCTTGTTTTTTGTATATTAGTGTTTCTTCTTATTAAATTCCGTAAAATGTTGTTCTTTTTTGACCAGCAGTTTTAATTCATCTTCGCATTAAATTTCCGTGAATATTGGTCTCCTCCTGTTGACCTGACCTCCCTGATTCCTCGTGACCTCTCCAAGGAAGTGTAAATAGGGGGGGGGGGGGGGAGCTGACATATAGAAACAGGGTTTTAGTGAATTCCAAAATCTCGTAGAATGTATTTATTTTGCTCTGTTTTTTTCATTCTTGTAGAAATAAGTCACATACACAGATGTAAACTGAAAACGTGAACAGTACACATACAAGAATAGATATATAGATAGAGTTATTCATAGACAGATAAATGTGATATATACATATATATATACATACATATATGTATACACACACACACACACACACACACACACACATATATATATAGATAGATAGATAGATAGATATGTATATAGATATATGTGTGTGTGTAGATATTTACATACAAATATAAACATATGTATACATATATACATATATATATATATATATATATATATATATATATATATATATATATATATGTATGTATATATATATATATATATATATATATATATATATATATATATATATGCATATGTATATATATGTATATATATATATATATATATATATATATATATATATATATATATATATATATACACGCACACGCACATACACATACGCACACGCACACACACACACACACGCACACGCACGCACGCACGCATGCACACACACACACACACACACACACACACACACACACACACACACACACACACACACACACACACACACACACACACACACACACACACACATATCATATATATTTTTTATATATATATGTATAAATATATATGTATATATACATCTATATATGTGTATGTATGTATATATATGTATATATATATATACATATATGTGTATGTATGTATATATATGTATATATATATATACATATATATGTACGTATATATGATTACACACACACATAACAGGGTTATAAATATCCAAGCACACCGCGCATCTGCCAACCCGAAGCTGAAAACCGCACCGGAGATAACGAGCCTCAAATCACACAGAACACCAGAAACTAATGTTGACCGAAGGCATTATTGCTCTGATCTCCTCCTTATCTTATCGGAGGCGCAGCGAGGGGCCCTCTTGTCAGGTCCAGCACCGGAGGGCGACCAGTTTGGTCCCGTGTGACTGGCTGATAGCTACCGTAGGCCCTTGGGGATCGCGGGCCTCACAGGGCGTCGGTATTAAGGCAAACAGTTATCGTTGCAGGGTCCTCGCGCAGGCAGCAGAGGAGGTCGACCTAGGTCCTTCCTTCCAAGCTGGCCTCCTTCGCTTCCCTTGGACAGGAGCGAAGTGATTGACAATAAGTAAAGAAGAAGAAACTCAGGAATAAAGTGTCAAGATGGCTTCCTGCGCTGCGGAGAGGGAGCCATTGCTGCCGAGAGAAGGGCCTGCGGAGCCAGTGACCCCCGCGTCCTGCTGCGGCCGAGTGCGACGCTTCTTCTGCGCGGTGACGGTCGAGCCTGTCTGCTTCCTCTACGCCATCACCTTCGGGATGACGATGGCGCTTCTGCCGAATCTATGGGTGGACAAAATTTGCTCGGTTCAGCTGGACTACGGCGAGGAGACCTGCGCCAGCCTGCAGGAGGAGAAAGACCCGGCGAAGCAGGACGCCGTCCAGAAGATGTCTGCGCAGATGTCCCTCTACTTCCAGCTCCTGCTGTTCGTGCCGGCCGTCTTCGCCAATCTGCTGCTGGGGGCGTGGGGGGATACGCGCGGCCGCCGCCTACCCGTGCTGGCCCCCGTCGTCGGCTCGCTGCTCATGGCCCTCGTCATCATGGCCAACTGCTACTGGTGGGCCCTGCCCCCGGCCCTGCTCCTGCTGGCCGCGCTCCCCGCTGGCTGCACCGGCTCCATGATGGCCGTCTTCTCGGCCTCCTTCGCCTATGTGGGCGCCGTGGCGGGCAGGAGAGCGCGCACGCTGCGGCTGTCGGTGCTCGGGGTGACCATGATGGTGTGCAACCCCGCCGGCAGGGCAATTGCGCTCCTCGTCTACGACAGGTGCGGCTACGTGGCCACCCTCGGCTGCCAGGTGGGGATGTACGTTGTCAGCATCGTGTACATTCAGCTGAGGCTGAAGAAGTGGCCCTCCGGGGCGTGCGCGCCGGGGGAGCAGGAGGGCAGGAGCGTCTGCAGCGTCTTGTCGCCCTCGAGTCTCAAGGAGACGCTGAGGACGGCCTGCAGGACGAGGGAGAGCGGCGGCCACTGGGACGTCCTGGGCCACATCGCCGTCATCTGCCTCTCCATCTCCACTCTGGGTGAGTCTGTGACGCAGTGTGAAGCATGGGAAGGACAGACATCTTTCTTCCACAAAGAAATGTGCTTTAAAAGGGGACCTTAAGTACCCAAGTGAACTCTTAGGGGAAAATTAACCTTGCTCTCTCTAATAACACCCCCTCTTGCAGCCGCTAATGTTCTCTTTGGATACCTGTACACACGGAAGAAATTCGCCTGGGACTACGACACCTACACCGTGTGGACTGTGATTGACCTGCCTCTCTCCTCGCTGGGTGCGTACGAAAAATTAATCACTTAATGAATTCATTGCTTTATCGCACGTCTTACTACTATGATAATGACTATCGTCACTGATTTGTTATTTTTAATTAATGTATCATCATTAGCTCAACGCATCTCACCCAATTTCTTTACATATACCACCAAACAAGAAGAAGAATAAAATGACAAAGAAAAAGGGAGATTTATATATAAAAGATTTTACGACCAAGGAAAGGCAAATGTTAACTTAATTCCAACTTTCTCAGGTGTCCTTATCTTCCAACCGATCCTGAACTACTATTGGCAAGTGGAAGACAACATCCTGGCTCTCGCTGGCGGAATCTCGCATCTTTTCTACTACACGCTGGTGGCCACAGCGCCCAGGCCGTGGGTGCTCTACCTAGGTGAGGAAGGCGCCCCTGGCTTCTCCCACGCGCTGCCATTACTGCTTCTTGTTCTCCCTCTGTCTGTCTTCTGTTCTCTGTTCTCTAATCTCTGTTTTCTGTTCTTTGTTCTCTATTTTCTGTGCTTTGTTCTCTCTTTTCAATCTGTTTGTATCTGTCTCTGTATGTCTCTCTCTCTCTCTCTCTCTCTCTCTCTCTCTCTCTCTCTCTCTCTCTCTCTCTCTCTCTCTCTTTCTCTATCTATCTATCTCTATCTATCTATCTATCTATCTGTCTATTTATGTATATATCTGTCTAATTATGTAGTTAACATAAACCTCTTTCTGTATTTCGTCCATTTGTTTTCCTGCCTGCCTTCCTGCCTGACTGTCTGCCTGTCTATATGTTTCTCTGTCTGTCTATCTGTCTATCTGTCTGTCTGTCTGCCTACCTGCTCGACTATCTGTCTACCTGTCTGCCAGCTGGTCTATCTGCCTGCCTGTTTGTCTGTCTCTCCCCCCTTCCTTCCTTCTCTCTCTACCTCCCTCCCTCCTCCTCTCCCCCTCACCTCACCGCCCCTCCCCCCCCTTCCTCCCTCCCTCCTCCTCTCCCCCTCGCCTCACCGCAATACTATTCAATACTATCGTTATTATTGTTTTATTTTTTTGTTTTTATTATTATTATGATTATTAACATTATTATCATTACAAACATTATTATCATTATTAACGTTATTATCATTATTAACGTTATTATCATTATTAACATTATTATTAACATTATTATTATTATTATTGTTGTTATTATCATACTACTATCTTCATTTTTATTACTAATGATAATCAGTATTAACCAGTAATAATAACTGATAAAAAGCAATAGTAACAATAATGATAATGATAGCCAACGATAATAAATTTAATGATAATGCTAACCATCATTATTATCGACATTAATATTTCTGACCATCGACTGAGCCATTTAACCCAGTCGCCCAGTATGGCAAGCATAGATGCCATGCCCACTGTAACACAAGTTTATTTATTGTATTTATTCACAGATGGCTCTACAAGTGTTTAATCACCAAGGAGTCGGTTATTAGTCCAACGTATCTCACCTGTTTTCCCTTTACCTTGTCTCTTGGAAAGGTTCTTTTGCATTATTTCATTGTCTTAAATATTATCGAGATTTTGATGACGATTTAATAATCATAACATCAATAACACTAATCGTATCGATATCAGCTGTATTAAAAAGAATAACACATTTTCCCGCCAATTCAAGGAATGGGGAAATCAGGATCGGTCTCTTAGGGCTACTGATAGACTCCTTGCCGGCTGAGCACATGTGGCGCCATCTGTACGTAACAACATTCACTAAATAAATACGGGGGGACAGAACATAAACCCGGGGCGGATGGGTTAATCTCTGTGCAATATTGACGGCTTGGCGACTTTCTTCCAGGATGTTGCTAACACGCCGTCCCTCCGAAGGATTTTACCGAAGGAAGAGAAGCGAAGATTGTTAATAATCCGGGAAAAAATCTGGTCGACAGAAGAGACAAGAGAATAAGAAGAAACTATGTCGGATTTATTATTTGTTTATATGATTGATTAAATTTGTTTTGGTTTTGTCATTCATCTAAATTGTCTTTATCATTAATAGGATTTAGTTTTGGCTGGTTTCCTTTTCATCTTCATGTACACGTTACTGCGCTTGCTTGTGTTCATACTATATAACATGTATAATTAAGGCATTGGGAGTGAAACATAGTTTATGACGGAATAAACCATACCATATATTTAAAGGAATTCTCTCCTAAACATCCGAAAATAATATTAAATCGAAGTCTTGAATCCGATTTATCTGTCACACTAAAAATTTAAATCAATATTTAAAGGCTATTTTGCCTAATTCACTATCATCACCATCGACCTCGAGGCGTCAGTCCAGGAGGAGGACCTGGAGGGACTCCCGCCGCCTCGAGGGAGCGGGCCGAGCGAAGGGCGGCGCTGGAAGGCCCACTCCAGGAGTCCTCGCCAGAGCCAACTCGAGGCCCAAGGTGAGTTCTATGTTCTCGTAGGAATCGTCAGGAATGTACAGGGTTGGAATCGCCGTGGCAACGCCTGCGCACAGAGCTGCCAGGAAGAGCCACTTCATGACGGCCATGGCACACGTGGTACTCGGTCTGGACGAGAGTTGGGAAGGATCTAAACTCCTCTTTGGGACGCGGAGGCGGTTCGCTCGCGGTCCCAAGCCCCGCGGTCCTGGCCAGTCCTGGATTCCAGTCCCCGTTTCGCGCGAGGGAATTGGGATCCAGAGACTCTTTTCAAACTATGGCAACGTAACTGCGATATTTAACCTTTTAGTAAAAATCCCACGAGATGGATTGGGTTTTTGTAAAATAAATATACAGAATAACAGGGAATTTTTATGAGAATACTCGCCCATTGTTCCCTCCAATTATTCGTACTTTCTTCGAGGAGTGGGAAAAAAGGTTTTATTCTTCTCGCCCAAAAAAGGAAAGAAAAAAAGGAAATTCTCAGCCCCTTAAAGACTCAGACAGTTTACGAGTTTTATATTTTCATAAATGATATAAAAGAAATAACTCCTTCAGTACATGTACGCATAAAAAATACTGACGTCCACCCATAGTCTAGTTCTATCAATGGACTACTATATTTTTTTCAATAATATAATTACACAATTCTATTATTGTAAACCTAGTAACTAACGTTTATTTTACAATCTTTCTCTTTATATTTACATCAAAGCCTAAATAAGTAACCTAAATAGGAAATTCGTATTATTTAAAGTTATCTTTTATCCTATTCTTAGTATTTAAGATTTTCTGCTACATGTTAAGGATACGAAAGACAAGAGCGAGGAAAACTGAATAAAAAAACCTAACCTAAAGTAGGAAAGGAGAGAGGAATAAACGCCACTTGGTTGGACGAAATCATATTCACAATTCCTAGGACATTAGTTAATAAGCAATTAAAAAGTACTTTGTGACGATTATGTTAATAGTTATGAGTGTCAGGTTGTATTATTGTGCGGCCATTATGTTAAAAATATTTATCGGTGTGTTATATCATTGTACGTATATTATGTTAATCAATAGTTATTAGCTTGAAGTTATATTACTGTACGATCATTATGTTATTATGTGTGAGGTAGTTAAGGAATTAGGGATCCCTAATTCCCTAACTACGAGTCGCTTGTTCCATAAGGTATTTTCAATGTTTAAATCAGGTTTGAGTTATATGATTTTAATTGCATTTTGGTAAACGGGATTTTTGCTTCTTTTTTTTTTTAGCATTTGTTGTCACTTTTGTTTTCCAATTCATGGAGTGGTAATATATGTGTGTATATATGTATATATGTATATGTGTATATATATATATATATATATATATATATATATATATATATATATATATATATGTGTATATATATATATATGTGTATATATATATATATGTGTGTGTGTGTGTGTATGTGTGTATATGTATATATCTATGTATGTATATATGTATATATATATATATGTGTGTGTGTGTATGTGTGTGTATGTGTCTATATATATATATATATATATATGTGTGTGTGTGTGTGTGTGTGTGTGTGTGTGTGTGTGTGTATGTACATACAAATACACGCACACGTACTTAACAGCTAACTAAATTGTCTTATAATTCTCCATTTGCTCATAAGAATATTTTGGGGCTTGCACGTGAATAATATCGGTTGATATTTAATCACTGATATTACCTTTAGCCACAGCGTCAGTCTGGATTTTGGAAAACCAACATATATATTGTTTAGGAATAAACACAATGCCCACATTATAAATATCGTTTGTGTTTTTTAGCATAATAACAACATGGTGGTTTTACCAATCAACATCTCTGGTATTAAAATATTAATGTAAAGTGCTATGTTTTATACGTATATAATTTATCTGAATATAGGACTATAAATTCTTGTTTTTTGTTTTTTGTTTTAACAGGAATGTTACAGAGGATTTTCTTACAAACGTATTGTATATACCACCATACTTGTTTATAAATGTTACATAACTCGTGTATATCGGATAATTTAAAATATTCTCACTGAAGACTAAATCCAACTGTAATTTTCGATTCAACTTATTTCTATATTATACACTGTGTAAATAATTACTCGAAATTTAAATATCCTTGCGATGTATGGATAATAAAACAAAACCCTACAATGACAAAATTGATATAAATGTGAACCAAGTTCTGTAATACCTAAATATATATCTAACAAGCTTGTTATAAGAGATATGACCAATTAGATTACAAAATACTAATGCTGAACGGAAAGATTCGAAAAGTTTCATTCATCTCAAGATCTAATCTAATCTAAAAAGGACACCTTGGGAATTAGGAAGCCGAGAAGGAGTAGTAGGGGGGGGAGGAGAAGGAGGGGGAGGGGGGAGAATCAGGTGCACATATAAACCAAGATATCCCGTTATCTTCTCACTTCTTTCCGTTCCAGGCTTTTAAGTACATGGGAATCGATAAAACAGTCTATTAAGAATATTATTAAGTTAAAAGTTCGGAATCTGTTTAGCAGTTAAGGAGTACGGAATATACTTAACAGTTAAGGAGTTCGGAATATATTTAACAGTTAAGAAGTTCGGAATCTATTTAACAGTTCGGAATATATTGAACAGTTAAGGAGTTCGGAATCGATTAAGCAGTTGGGAGGTCAGATTCGGTTCAGCAGTTGGTCGTGAAGTCGGCAGCGTTCCGGTAGAAGAATGAAACCTCTTTTCCTAACTGTTGTCGCCTTCGTGGACACTACGAAAGTCAAGAAGCCTTTTAGAACCCTCGGAGACGAAAGCTGTCTATGGGAAGGACTGAATTTCGGAAAAGGGACGGCACTTTGCAGAACCCACGTTGCAGAGATGCAATATCGCCGGCCCTTGTACGCCATTCCTGATCATCGGTTCATCAAAGCAGCGTTTCTTAGCTGCACAAAGCAAGAGAGTCTGAGGCGATGATTTTCCTTCTTTCGTGTGCATGTTTACTTGACTTAAGACTTAATCCTTTGTTGATGAAAGGATAATAAAATTCATATATGCTTTGAAAGTACTTGTGTCAATGGCCTCCTGAAATTATTGCCATTTATTCCATTAAATGTCTGCGCATAAGCATGTCTTGTTTTTTTAAGCAAAAATATACTCAGAAAATGAAAACACACGTTTGTAACAGTTACAACAAAGTAGCTACAATAACATTAAATACAGGCAATAAAATCTTTATTAATTAAACAGCTAAAAATGTAAACTGAGTCTTCAATTCTTCGTCTAAAATACATCCCTGCAGTAGTCCTGTAATGAGTACATGTACATCCTGCATTTCCAAGTACTTCTCCCAGTATATTACAGTACATTGAAAACCTCATGACCACAGCAGACCTTACTAACGTTCCCACTTTGGAAATAAAACGGAATTCTGATATTATAGGAAAAAAAATATATGTGAAATTGATATGGTCAAGCGCAAACACGAGGTTTTGAGTAGAATGAATTTTGAATACAGAATACCAGAAATGGAAACGTAGGACTGAGTACTGTTATTAGATATATACAATACATATGAATAGATAATATATATACGCTATCATGAAAACGTAAACATACAAATATATAGACACATGTACAAATACATATACATAGACATACATATACGAGTTTGCTATGATCACTATTATCACCATCATCATTGTTGTAGCTATAACCATTTTTATGGTCATCATTATTATTATTATCATTATAACCATCATTATAATCATCATTATTATTATCATTGTAACCATCATTATAAGCATCATTATAATCATCATTATTATTATCATTATAAGCATCATTATAATCATCATTATTATTATCAATATAACCATCATTATTATTATCATTATAACCATCATTATTATTATCATTATAAGCATCATTATAAGCATCATTATTATTATCATTATAACCATCATTATTATTATCATTATAACCATCATTATTATTATCATTATAAGCATCATTATAATCATCATTATTATTATCATTATAAGCATCATTATAATCATCATTATTATTATCATTATAACCATCATTATTATTATCATTATAACCATCATTATTATCACCATCGTCATCATTAGTGTCTTGCTTATTATATCATCTTTTTGCATAACTATCATTGTATATTGTATATCAACTATTTCTTTAACGTCTTCATCCCATTCATCAGTTCTCTCATATTATCCTAATCTCCTCTTTCGCGTCAAAAAAAAAAATAATAACCATATTTTTAGATTCTGAAAAACGGTTGATCTTTGACCCCATTCTTCTCCTTCGTTCCCTACAGCAGGTCAGTTTCTTGGCCGTCGATAGTCTCCCACGCGACGCCGCCGGGAAACCAAGCTACGGCGGGCTACTCACTCGCTCACGATGGAGAACTATCATGTGCGTGGAAAATCTGGAAAAGGAAACGCTATACAGGGAAATTATACACACACACATACACACACACAAACACACACACACACACACACACACACACACACACACACACACACACATATATATATATATATATATATATATATATATATATATATATAGAGAGAGAGAGAGAGAGAGAGAGAGAGAGAGAGAGAGAGAGAGAGAGAGGAAAAAAATAAATAAATAAATAAAATAAAAAAATAAAAATAATGAGAGAAAATTTCGAGTGGAAATCCGTATATATGTGGGTGGGTGTGTATATAAGTGTATATGCATATATATATATATATATATATATATATATATATATATATATATATATATATATATATATATATATATAAGACAGAGAGAGAGAGATACTTAAATTCGAGTAGAA